AAACAAACCGTAATGTGTCAGGTTTCACGAGGAAAGCTGGATGGCGTCAGGCCGGGGAGGCGTGAGGTGACCCTGGGTGACCAGAGGCGAGCTGGGACCGAAAGGTTCGACTTTACAGGCGTCGGAGAGACAGCAGCTTGAGGAATCTGAATGTATAGTGCCTTGCTTTTTGTGTACAGTTTATATACAGAAATCCTAGTCTGCATTTTTAAAGACTTTCTTTGTGATATAAGACATAGCGAATAAATCCCAATAATGCTCAACTCAGACAAGAAGTGGTTGTGTCTCCTTTGCTGCATGTGGTGCATGAAGGAATTAAGATCTCTTTTTCTAAATGTCTTCAAGAGGTAAAATTGTTTCATTTTAAACAGGCTAGAGGTAGCTTGTTTTTTTTTTTTACTTTTAAGCTCTCTTATAAGTGTCATCATTCCATACTGGATGAGGCTCTCAACTCCTGAATTCTTTATTCAATTTTCTTCCCTGCAGCCAAAAAAATATGCTGGTCATCTCTAAGTTTTTTGTAGTACGTTAAATCCTTCCTCCCGTGGTCGGTTTAAAGAAGCCTAAATATTGAGCTACGTTCCAAAACCAGGTTATAATGCCTATTTACTGACCTGGAGATATGAAACTTTTTTTCTGTTTTTTCTAAATAAATGTTAAAATGGATTTTGTTTAAATACTTAATGAAACAAAACAATGCATCTATTACAAATGTAATGAATGTTTTTGGCAGATTATTAATTAAATGGAATCAGAAAAAATCTTTAAAATCCGTTTTGGCTTTGCGATTAAGTGTTTAGTGTGTAGAAGCAATTTAGTAAATTGCATCTGTATACATGCTGTTAGCCTCAAGTGGCTCAATCCAAAGCTCATCGGCTGGAAATACACCTATGCTCTTAAGTCGAGTCACCAAAATGTCACTTAAACAACAAGCTGAAAGCCACAATGTCAAAAGTAAAATCTCAAAATCAGTTGGAAAACCAATCGCAAAGCAAATGAAGCAGAATCATCCCCAGCAATGCGAGAACATCCTAGATGAGCACCAAAAGGAAAATTACAGATATCTATTCCAGGTTGTTTAATATAGATAAACATAAGATAGATCAAATCATAATTAATGTTAATAACCAGCATTCATGTGCTGCAGTCAGAATGATAGGAGCAGGTAGTCATACATGACATTTTTCTTTATTTAATTCATAACCGTAATTTTGCTGCTTAAATTCAGCGTGTGACTTTACTGGCGAAATAGGTTTACCACTTTATTCATGACCTGCTGAAGTAGCTTTTTCTGCACGTTTCTGATAAATTGCAGCGTCTTCCACCTAAAGAGGAATAGAACCGTTCAGCGCCCTCTGCCGGACGGAAGTTGCATTTGTCCAGAACCCAGATGTACATTGAGAACTTTTTGAAGTACAAAACGAGGGTATTTATCGTTCATGGCATTATCGTTTCGAACGCTTGATAGAAATGTATCTTTTTTCCCCCTGAGTAATTAACAATATTATCGCCCTGCGATGGACTGGCGGACTGTCCAGGGTGTACCCTGCCTCTCGCCCGTTGACCACTGGGATGGGCTCCAGTTCCCCCCGCGACCCCATCAGGGAATAAGCGGTATTGATAATGGATGGATGCATACAGTGTTCCTACTTTGAAACCCTCTCGGCACTAACGCTGTCACTCGTTTTAAACTCGGGACTTTTGAACATCGATCCCTCTGTCTCTGTAAGTTGTTTTCCTTTTTTCCAGACAGCATGTTTGGCTTTATTCGTGAAATTGTTACCCGAGATGCTGCTTTTGTGAAATATGAAGTGAAGTGAAGGATAAATGTAGACTATGACAAAAGCTATAAAATGACCTTACTGTAACTTTTATCCCGAATTTCCATTCGCAAACAGTCTAATCAACGTGCACCCTCTTTTTTGTCGAAAATATAGCAACTATGTAGCAGAATTGAACCCTTATATTATGTTAAGGGTCAATTTGACCCGTTTCAGTTTTTGTGTTGATCAAAGTGCTGGTTATCCTTTTTTTTTCTTCATGAAATTTGGTGACTTTTCCTCATCTGGGGTCATGAATTTGTGTGTGAAATCTGGTCACTCTGATGTGTAGAGGGGGGTCTGTGCAGAGTTTGTATACAAAGATGATGTTGCGGGTCATTTTGACCCGGACACCATTAATGTGGGTAAGTAGCTGTTCAGATCCAAAATAAACATGTCTCTTCAGTGTACTTGTATTTTCATTGCCTCTGAGACCCAGACCCAGGTGTTTGTAAAGGGTTTGGGTCTGAGGGTCTGTGTAAAATACCCAACATCACCACATCAAAGTCGAGGCAGACTTTCATCTTCCAATGTGATCAATATGACTCCCGGTCATTCAAGATTTGCCGTCACAAGAGTTGATTAGATTCAATCAGCATTTCAGATCTTCATAACCCCACCAATAGAGAGGATGATACCAACTTAGAGGGGAGACGTGTGTTTCAAGAAAAATGGAAGCCACTGGATCAGTCTGACTTGCATGCTTACTGTGGGAGCCATTTTGCATTTTTACTTTGAGGGTAATTCTGTTGATTTGTTTGTTTATTATGAATTTGTTTACATTAATGATAGTTTCATATTTTGGTAATATTCTTTTTGTAATTCGTCTAGTGAATTGTTTTGCTTTGTTTAGTCTTTATTTGGTAAATTTATTAATTTGTAGTACTTGGTTTTAGACACCTGGGGCAGTGGTGCGCACAGGTAAGGGTGGATTTAAGTGAGTAATGGCACACACCTGTATGCACCTGGGTGTGGGCAAATGGTTTTTTACCAGTGCAAGAGGTTGCTCACGCGAAACAGCAATAAACAGCCCTAAAGAACAAATTCTGCGTTGAATCCTGTTTTGCCTGCGTACGATACCTGCCCAGGGTGCCAGAAGTTGCCGTTTGTTTTATTTTAAGTTTGATTTAATTTTCGTTAAAAGTTTGTTCGACAAACGGCTACTACACTTACATTAGAGTTCTGTTATTAGCTGGAGTGTACAGGTCAAAGGGGAGTAGCAACTGAAAGTTTATGGATTGAAGACAATCCTGGTCCCCATGTTACTGTAGATGAGAGTCTTGTTCCATTCAGGGGGCGCTGTCCTTTCCGACCGTACGTGCCCAACAAGCCTGCCAAGAATGGCACCAAAATATGGGCAGCCTGTGATGCAAAATTTAGCTATGCATGGAATGTGCAAGTATACACTGGGAAGCTACCTTGAGGAAAATCTGAGAAGAATCAGGGGATGCGTGTGGTGCTGGAGATTAGTGAAGGGTTGCAACGTCATATCATCACCTGTGACAACCTTTTTACTTCCTACCGCCTTGGAGAAGAACTTCAGAAGAGAAAGCTGACCATGTTGGGATAGTCAGAAGAAATAAGCCAGAACTTCTCAGTGGAATTCAGAAAATGCAGGGCAGACCTCAGTATTTGCTTTCATTAAGAGAGTGACAGTTGTCTCATACCGCCCAAAGATAAACAAGAATGTTCTTGTATTGAGTACAATGGAAGCTGACGCAACTCTGGGCACAAGAGAGGACATGAAGCCACAAATGATCCGGGGTCATAAATCCACCAAAGGAGGAGTTGACAATCTGGACAAAGTCACAGCAACATACAGCTGTCAGAGCCAGTTTGATCCAGACTCCAGCCAGGCTAGCAGTCGCAGCAGCTATCATTAAAAAGGTCAAGCTCAGGTCCCCCAACCAACACCCAGTGGACAGGTGTAAAACAAAAAGGGAAAACCAGGATGCCAGGTCTGTCCATCCCAAGAAGTAAAATAAGGACCTCGAGTGAAATGTAAGAATTACACCCGCAGAAAGTGCTCGGTAAAATTCCGAAATGTGTTTGTGAAGAGGGAAAAACCCAAACAAAATAGTTCTTAAAGAAAGTGTTGGAATTAAAAATGTATTGTTTGTCACTTTTCTAAAGGTTAATTCAATATTACATTAATTTGTATTGGTTTAACCCGTTTTTGTGACTGTCTAGCAGTCATTTACATGGTGCGGTTCAAAATGACCCGCAACATCATCAATGTATTTTTTTTCCAACATAATATGAGGGTTAAACATTTGATCGCTTTTGGTAAAAGTTTAACAATTCAGCTTTAAATAAACTCAGTGAAACGTAAAGATTGAAATGTAATGACCAAAAACATAACTCTGGGGGATTTTTTTCCAATCTTTTCAGGCTTGTCAAAGTGTTGAAGTTTGTCTTTTTTTTTTTTTTTTTTTACTAACTCATATCGTCTACTTAAGTGCTATTAAACCAGTTTCCCGGACAGGACATTAGTTATTGTAGCAGAAAAAATCAAGACATTTCAGTCATGACCTCTGACGTAGATCTGCATATCTGTCATTCAGTCGTGAGTTTGTCTTGAGTTTAAGAGGGTCAAATGTATTTTTCAGCAAAAATATGTCACGGCCCATTCCTCTCACCTGTAGGGGCGGTTCCTCCTGCAGGCAGAGGCGGGCCTTACTGATTGGGGCCACCTGGGCTCACTATATAAGTTGGCCTCCACTAACACTCTCTCTCTCTCTGCTCCTCCAGGTACCCACTTTGTTGGTTGGTTCAGTTTGGTTTTGGTTAGCACTCAGTCACATTCTCACATATATGTTCACCCACTCATACACTGCACACACTAAACATATTTACATACTCACATCTCATCCCTGTTTTGTTTAAAGTTACTTATAGGTTACAATAAACTATTGATTGGCCTATGATTGTAATATGTGTACTGTGTGTGAGCCCTCAATGATTGCATATATTTGATCACCCAAATCTCTACGCTGTGCTTCTTTCTTTGTATATTTGCTTGCTTTTGATGTACTTTATGCACCTTTTCCTCCTTTTGTACCCTAACCGATATGTGACCAGTGAATTTCTCCACTGTGAGATCAATAAAGCTCTTATCTTATCTTATCTTAAACCGTTTTGTCTCCCCTCCTTTTTGTCATGGGCACTGAGCCGGCCTGTGACAAATAGTTAAACTCTGAGGCCATTAAGATAGTTCACCTGCTTTTGACTCAATAGAAAAACCACTGTATTAATGATGTAATCTGATTAATGATCCCTTATAGTGGCATTGTTGACACTGAGGACCATTTGACTTCTGTTCGTTTTTATTCAGAGTCTTTTCTCTTATTTCAGAAGACATGTCCTCTC